GGCCGGTCTCTGACCATCCGGGAGCAGGTCCCTGAACTTGCTGGAGTTTTTAGGTGCTATAATAATAAGTAGCAATAATGGACAAAGATATGGGATCCCCTTAGCCCCAGAGGTGATCCCTGGGGGTGAGGGCGGAGAGTGGAAGTGGACTGGTGAGGGCTGTGGGAGAAGCATGCAGTGGTGCTGCCTGTGAAGATACAGAAGAGATATTGAATTCTAGCACAATGCACCCCAAACCCTGATTCAAACAGCTCCATTAGCCACGTGGAACGGTGAGATGTCCCGGGCTGTAGCTCCGTCGCACTGAAGCTCCCCGTCTGTGGAGCATAGGGCTGGTTGACATAACCCATCATGTGGTTTCCATTCAGGGAGCAGAGCAGGGTGTTAATAGGGAGCAAACAAGACTGGGGGGATTAAAACCGTGGCCTCCAGCTGCTTCCCAGCGGGCTGTGAAATGAGCCCTGCGTTCGGAGTCTGTGGAGAGAGGAGCGGGTGTGTGCCTGAGGCTGGGGCTGCAGGCTCTGTGGCCCCTCTCCAGAGGACCAAGGCAAAGGGTGGGTTCATTGCTAAGAGTGAAAATGAAGGTGGTTTTCTCCCTGAGAGGGCAGTGCAGCTCCACTGCTCTGCGGAGTGGCAGGGAAACAAGATTCAAAGGCAGGTGTATCCCAGCTTTAAGGGAACCCCTATCCATCCCCACAGCCAGCCCCATACAGAGGAGCAGGCCTGCTCGAAACACAGGGAAACAGTTTCACAAAACAGTTCAAAATGTTTCCTTGTCCTGTCTGAGTAGGCACAAAGCCAGAGTGAAATCAGTGCATCCTCCTCCCCCACACCGAAGGCTAGAACAGGGCTGGGCAAAATATGGCCCGCGGGCTGGATCCAGTCCACCAAGCTACCAGATCCGGCCTGCAGGAGCCTCAGCTCACAACCCAAACTCCCTCCCAGATCCTGCACCCCAATCCTGTACCTCAAGCTTCCTTCTGTAGCCAACCTCCATCTCAAACCTGGCACCTCCTCCATTAATATCGTGGACATTCTTGGAGTTGCCCTCCATCAAAAATTATTGCCCACCCCGGGCTAGATTCTGCCTCCAGGCCCTCCCCAATGGCTCCCTCCCATGCTACTCAGGGGAGCCTTTAGATGAATCCATGGAGGAACTTGGCCCTAATGGGGAGGAGGGTCAAGTCCCAGAGTTAGCAAGAATTCAGTCCTGACCGGTCATTAGAATTTTTCTGTTGAATCAGGACTCTGCTCCAATTGTTGTTTCATTTTCCGTGCTTCGAACAGCCTGCGTAGCCCAACCAGAGCAGATGCCAGCAGCAGCTGTGCGGTTCTACCAAGGCAGAGCACAAGGGCTACTGAAGGGATCTGTGGGGTTTGCAGATTGCTCTGGGAGCAAGCGTGAGGTTTTTCTTTTCCTTTGTGAATCCATGTCCTTGCTCCTCAGTTACTAGCCTGGAATTTAAAGAGTCTATTGTTCCAGTGCTTGCTTTTGAGGCATAATAAATGCAGTATTTAAAATAAAAAAAGATGTAGACTTTCTCTAAACACAGGCAATCTTACATAATTAACTAATAAAAATAACCTGCATTCTAGCCTGCAAAAAATATTATTTTCAAGACAAAGCAGAGTTTGTACGATAATTAGAAGCAGAAGATGGGCAGACATGAAAGTGGACAAGTTTCTTGGCCTGAGGTCAGGGCCTGAGAACTGGTCTCAGTTTGGGAGGCAGTAGAATCTCCCTGATGTAACTGACATAGAAAGGAGGTTTGGGACCTGAATCTGCGCCAAGCAGAGTGGAGACGTATTTGGCAGATTTTCCTTTTTCTGGGCTCATCTGGGTTTCCCATTTTGGAGTCTGCAGACATGTGACCCCGGCTTATTTGGACCCTGCTCACTAAGGGGGCTGGTCCTCGGCTGACCTGGCTACCTGCCCGAGAGGTATATGAATGTAGGCGGATGACGGTTTGTGACTGGGCTGAGCAAGTTGCCCCAGAAGACAAGCCAGGCATGTGACTCTCCCCACTTCAGCCCTTTTCAGGGGCATGTCTGGGGACCCACAGAGGAGCGGTAGCCAGAGTCAGCCCAAGTGTTACTTCCAGCGGGAGATGGAGTTGCTGGGTGGGGCTGATGGAAGCTGAGGTGGGTGTTATTCAGGGTTTATTACAGGTTTTGGACTCTGGCCCAAATGGCTGTTGTTTAATGATACCGATCTCCATGCTCAGAGCAATCACACCAACCAGCCCAGGTATGCGACACCCCCACTCCCTCCCCACCCAGCTCGATGTGGGTGCGTGATTCCATCCAACTGTGCATCAGTGCGGTCCAAGAGGGCGTGCAAGATACCATCTCTTCCACGTGGGGAGTGATGGCACCAGTCCCAGATATTGCTGCTGTTGCATGAAATGAGGTTGAGAAGAGTGGCAGGTTCACGTTCAAATCACTTTTTCCCAGGGCATCGCTTCTTGCCTGCTCAGCCTGGGGACAGGGAAGCAGAGAGCCTGTCTCTCTATCTAATCCAGTCATTTATCGGGCACTCAGTGACATGGTGTGGGGGTGCCTGTTCTGCAGCCTCATGAAACTAGCTCTGGTGGGAGCAGGGCATACAGCCTTCCTGGGCTGGAAGGATAGGAGAGGAATAATGGGCAAGAACAGGGTT